GATTTGTCAATTAATATAATTTTTTGTGGGATAAATCTTAATTATACATTAATAAAGAAAATCACTGTCAAATTATGATGTGCCTTGCGATAACATTAATATTTCAGGCTATTAAAATCACTTTTAAAAATATCAATGTTAAAACAATAAAGTGATAGAATAAATAATCATCATTTAATGAATGAGCGTGAAGTGACGAGCATAGTTGTATTCATAAGATTAAGAAAAGAAGGCTGGGATGAACACGTGCCCAGGGCAGACAATAGAAGGCTGATTAAAATGGCAAGATATTGAAGACCCTAAGGTAAGCGGGGTCCAGGAATACCAAAGAAAAGATGGATCGAAAGCTGGGCATCAACATCTCGCAACCCATCAAGAAGGCGAATTGTGGAAAATAATAGGTACCACCTATTCACAAGTATATGTTAAAAAGCACCGACGTGTTTATGGCAATGTATTATTAACATCGCCGTCTCCACCTTGCCCGGTCCCAGCTAGCGCCAGCTGGTGCGGTACCCGCTCGGGGATATACCTGAAAGGGAAAAACCTCCCGAACCGACTTGAAGGTGCTTGTCATTTCTCACAGTCCAGTGAGAGAGAAACACTCTTCACTTACGGAATTAACGACCTAGTAGTTGACGCGCTCAGAAACTAATAAATAATCAATCTAATGTTTCGATTCTCTGGGGTATTGCCAATCAAATAACTAGCACGATTTAGTGATTCCAGGCGCGTCAACTGCTAAGATCATTAGTCCCGCAAGTGCAGTGCATGTTTTTTTCCTTGAGGGTGGCGGTGATTAACCCCGCCGGATATGAGATCAGGCGCTCACCTACTAGTCGGCTAGCAACCAGGTATCTCCCTAGGAGCGTAGAACCACCCAACCGAGACAACCTCTAAGCTCTCTACTGTATGCATGATACTGGTATGCATGATACTGGCATGCATGATAGTGTAGTGCATGTAAGTAAGGGGTAAGACGAAGGAAAGATACAGCGCGGTCCCTGGCCCATTTGTTAGGGCACTGCTCCGGCATTCGAC